TTCTCTCTTCCTCTCCTCCTCCTCTCCTCTCCTCCCTCTCTCTCCTCTTCCTCCTCCTCTCCTCCTCTCCTCCTCCTTCCTCTCTCTCTCTCTTCTTCTCTTCTCTCCTCTCCTCACTTTCCATCTTCCTCTCCTCCTTCTTCTCTTTTCCTTCTTACTCTTCTCTCCTCTCCTCCTTCCTCCTTACTCTCTCTTCTCCTCCATCCTCTCCTCCTTCCTCTCCTCTCTTTTTTCCTCTCCTTTCCTCTCGCTCATCCTCTCCTCCTTCCTCTTCTCTCCCCTCTCCTCCTCACTCTTTCCTCTCCTCTCTCTTCCCCTCTCCTCTCCTCTTCTCTTCTCTTCTCTCCTCTCCTCCTTTCTCTCTTCTCCTTCCTCTCCTTTCCTCTCATCCATCCTCTCTTCTCCTTCTTCCTTTCCTTTCCTCTCATCCATCCTCTCTTCTCCTCCTTCCTCTTCTCCATCCTCATCTTTTCTCTCATCCATCCTCTCCTTCCCTCCTTCCTCTTCTATCCACTCCTTCTTCCTCTTCTCTCTCCTCCCTCCCTCTCCTTTCCTCCTCCTTCTCCATTCCTCTAATCCATCCTCTCCTCCTCCTTCATCTTCTTTACTCACATCTCCTCTTGTCTCCTCCCTTTCCTCTTCCTCTCCCTCTCCTCCTTCCTCTCCTCCATCCTCTCCTTTCCTCTAATCTATCCTCTCCTCTCCTCCTTCCTCTCCTCCTTTGCTTGTCTCCTCTTTTCTCCTCTCCTCCATCTCCTCTCCTCCTCCTTCCTCTCCTCTCTCCTCCTTCCTCTTCTTCTCTTCTCTCCTCTCCTCCTCCCTCTCCTCCTTCTACTTTCCTCTCATCCACTCCTCTCTTCCTTCCTCTTCTTTATTCTCCTCTCCTCCTTCTCTTCTCATCTCCTCTCCTCTCCCTCCTCTCTCCTCCATCTCCTTTCCTCTCATCAATCCTCTCTCTCCCTTCTCTCCTCTCCTCCTCTCCTCCTTCCTCTTCTCTTATCTCTCTCTCCTCCTCTCTTTCCTCTCCTCCTTCCTCTTCTCTTATCTCCTCTCCTCTGCTCCTCCTCCTCTCCTCCTTCCTCTCCTTTCCTCAAACCATCCTCTCCTCCTTCCTCTCCTTTTTCCTCTCCTCTCCTCTCTTCTCCTCCTCCTCTCCTCTCTCCTTTCCTTTCCTCCTTCCTAACCTTCTTCCTCTCTTCTCTTCCTTCCTCTTTTCTCTTCTCCTTCCTCTCCTTTCCTTTCATCTATCCTCTCGTCCTCACTCTCCTCCTTCCTCTCTTCTCTTCCTTCCTCTTTCCTCTCCTCTCCTCCCTCTCCTCTTTCATCTCTTCTCCTTCTTCCTCTCCTCTCTCTCCTTCCTTTTCCTCTCCTCCTTACTCTTCCTCTTCATCTCATCTCTTCTGCTCTCAATCTCATCTCCTCCCCTTGACTTCCCTTCTCCTCCCATTGTCATCCCCTCCCTATCCTTTTCAATTCTTCTCCCCCTCTCCTCTTCACTTACCTCTCCTCTCCTATTCCCCTCTTCTTCCTCTCCTCTCCTCCCTCTTCCATTTTCTCTTTTTCTCCACTGAACACTAACTCTCATGACATTTAGATCTGAGATGCCACCAGCGTAAAACAACATAAACTCTCTTTCAATCCCCATTAACCTCGGAGAGTTCAGTACATTGTACACTTTATTTGTAAAAAAAATAAAAGGATCTCTGTAACCAGCTGATGATGACTACAATGGTGTCCTGGACACCTCTGACATCCAACTCTAATCTCACATTGTGGACTGGAGACCCGGCTACAGAGCGAGATTAATTATATGATCAAAAAGTCAGCGCAGACCAGTGCCTTCCTGACGGCTTGTTGTAATTATGGCGGCGGCGGTGTAGGGAGCGGGCCGCGTTCACGACAATGTTCTAAATACAGAAATGATTTGATGCTTGGCTTTCTTGCGGTTTTGCTCTTCGCATATTGTAATGGCTTATTATAAAGGGTCCAAATTCCGTTCAGTTTCATTTTAAACGGGAAAAATACAGGCAGTAATTACAGCCAAGCGTAAGTGCGGCTTTACATTTTCATGTGGGGCTGTGCTGCTTTACAGGGAATATGACAAAGAAAAGAAAAAAAAAAAAGAAATAACAGGGGCTGCCATTGCTAAGTAGCAGGTTTCAGAGTCCGGGGCTGCCAGCCCTTTCCTCGGTTCCCTATATAGCAATTTCACTGACCGCCATGTGCATGGAGCCTGCAAACACCCCCATATGGAAGAAAAATATATTTGAAATATATTTTAAAAATATTCTTCCCAAATATATTGACATATATTTGAAATACTACAATTTTGGCCATATTCAATATATTTCAAAATATATTTCAATAAATTACATATATATATATATTATATAATTATATTATTATATATATATGAAGATGATTTTATTACGGAAAGCATAGTTCTTCCTTCTGTACCAGGGAAGAAAGTGATCAGTCATAAACTCCACATACTTTGCAGAGGTCATCTTTACACCTTAGGGGACCCTAAAGGGGCCGACCAGCTCTGTTCCCATGATTCCGGCCCAAAACATGACTCCACCACCGCCTTGCTGACGTCGCAGCCTTGTTGGAACAAGGTGGCCGTCCACCAACCATCCACTACTCCATCCATCTGGACCATCCAGGGTTGCACGGCACTCATCATTGAACAGGACTGTTTGAAAATTAGTCTTCATGTATTTTTCTGCCCAATGCAGCCGTTTCTGCTTGTGAGCATTGGTTAGTGGTGGCCGAATAGAAGGTTTATGCACAGTTGCAGGACTCTGGAGGACTCTACACCTTGATGTCTGTGGGACTCCAGAGGCACCAGCAGCTTCAAATATCTGTTTGCTGCTATGTAATGGGATTTTAGCAGCTGCTCTCTTGATCCGATGCATGGATCTGGCAGAAATCTTCCTCAATGTGCCTTTATCTGCACCAACCCGTCTGTGCTCTGAATCAGCCACAAATCTCTTCATAGTGCGATGATCACGCTGAAGTTTTCGTGAAATATCGAATGTTTTCATCCCTCGTCCAAGGCATCGAACTATTTCACTCTTTTCAGCAGCAGAGAGATCCTTTTTCTTCCCCATATTGCTTGAAAATGGTGCTCTGCTTAATAATGTGGAACGCCCTCCTTTAGTAGTTTTTCCTTAAATTGGGCTTACACCGGCCAATCTAATTATCACAGGTGTCTGAGATTGTTTTCAGCAATCAAAAGAGCCCTGACACACAATGCCATCCATGAGTTACACTGAAAAACAAAATGCATTTCAACATTCAAAAAAAAAAAATATATATATATATATATATTGAATACGGCCAGAATTGTAGTATTTCAAATATATATCAATATATTTGTGAAGAATATTTTTAAAATATATAAAATATATTTTTCTTCCATGTGGGCCGGCGCTGGTGACGTCTGCAATTTTACAGTCCTTCAGTCTTGCCCAGTTGTACCGGCTCCTTTTCCTGGACTCAAATTACTTACTCTGATTGTACCGCACTCAGTAGAAACCACAACAGTTTAGATAGAGCTCTGCCTCAATTCCTGGCTTGAGGACGGCCAGCATCATCTAGCGCTTTCCTTCCCAGCCTAACTATCCCTGGTCCCACCCCTTTCATCCCTTGGATTTCAGTTCTTTCGGTCATGGAGGCATGATATGTGGCCATTATTTAGGGCGGTCTGCTTAATAGTGATGGGCTGAACCAGGGGCGGACTGACAACTCATGGGGCCCTCGGGCAATAGGGGATCATGGGGCCCCTGTATCCTTGCACAAACTCAAAAAAGCCTATGAAAAAGGTACCAGGGGCATCTCATGGGGCCCCCTACTGACCCTGGGCCCTCGGGTAGTGCCGCTGTGAGCCAGGACCCCCCTGCCGCACCGTAAGTGCCTGCACCCCTGTTTAATCCCTCTATGGACTGTCCATGAACTTTCCCCCCTTCCTCTTCCCTGTCTGGCTTACAATCTACCAGAGACTCTAACTTTGCCCCCCCTGGAGCCGGATTACAATTGTTTTGGGCCCCCTCCCTGCACCGGGCGCTGGGACTCTACCTTCAGACCCCAATTGAGTGACTGTCATTCTTCCAATAAAGCTTTGTGCGTTTATAATCTGCTCCGTGTGTTCTGTCCTGTCTACTCTCCTTCATAGTCCTGCTAAACGTTTGCAGCAGACGGAGATGAATGGGCTTCCTGTAGGTCCTGTATGTATCTCTGACTAATTAATACATGCGTATCGCCGGTGATCCGGCTGATTTTGCGTTTGCACCACACGGATCAAGGAGACAAAGATGAGAGAGACGCAGAATTAATTCTAAATAAAATATTTTCGGTTCAGAATCTTTGATCTCTCCAACTAACACCTAATGAGGAGGTAATTATCCGGAGCCATAAATATTTAAAGACGCCGAGGAAACATACAAAAATGATAAAGAATGAACACAAACTTCTGGAAGAGTTCAGATTACTATTCCGGACGCGATAATAAACTTTCTACTGCGCAGATTGAAACATAAAACTTTATTGCAGGCTAACGTTACGGCTCCACGCACGCGGGGTGTTTAATAACGCTGGTAGCACTAGCTGTGTAAAGTCGCATTAAAAATGGTTTTTCAGCATTTTTTTAACCGTTTTTGCACTAGCATTTAGCCGCATTTTTCCGCGTTTGTGTTTTTTTAGCGTTTTTAGGTGCATATTTGTTAGGTTTGCTGAGTTTTACCGCGGTTTGCTGCATTAGAGTGTTTTTATAGCTAAAAAACTCCTCTAGAAACTTACTAGTCCTGTGTTTTTTTTTCCAGACGAAAAACTCCCCCGCCAAAAAACATTGATTCCAGTCTATGTGTGTATGGACACATAGGATAACATGCCGGGGATGGACACATAGGAGAACATGCCGGGGATGGACACATAGGATAACATGCCGGGGATGGACACATAGGATAACACGCCGGGGATGGACACGTAGGATAACACGCCGGGGATGGACACATAGGATAACACGCCGGGGATGGACACATAGGATAACATGCCGGGGATGGACACATAGGATAACACGCCGGGGATGGGCACATAGGATAACACGCCGGGGATGGACACATAGGATAACATGCCGGGGATGGACACATAGGATAACATGCCGGGGATGGACACATAGGATAACATGCCGGGGATGGACACATAGGATAACACGCCGGGGATGGACACATAGGATAACATGTCGGGGATGAACACATAGGATAACACGCTGGGGATGGACACATAGGATAACATGCTAGGGATGGACACATAGGAGAACATGCCGGGGATGGACACATAGGAGTGAATGCAGGGTTCGGGGAGAGTGGATATAGTGAATGCAGGGTCCGGGAGAGTGGATATAGTGAATGCAGGGTCCGGGGAGAGCGGATATAGTGAATGCGGGGTCCGGGGAGAGCGGATATAGTGAATGCAGGGTCCGGGGAGAGCGGATATAGTGAATGCGGGGTCCGGGGAGAGCGGATATAGTGAATGCAGGGTCCGGGGAGACCGGATATAGTGAATGCAGGGTCTGGGGAGACCGGATATAGTGAATGCAGGATCCAGTGAGACCAGATATAGTGAATGCGGGGTCCGGGGAGACCAGATATAGTGAATGCAGGGTCCAGGGAGACCGGATATAGTGAATGCAGGGTCCGGGGAGAGCGGATATAGTGGATGCAGGGTCCGGGGAGAGCGGATATAGTGAATGCAGGGTCCGGGGAGAGCGGATATAGTGAATGCAGGGTCCGAGGAGAGCGGATATGGTGAATGCAGGGTCCGGGGAGAGCGGATTTAGTGAATGCAGGGTCTGGGGAGACCGGATATAGTGAATGCAGGATCCAGTGAGACCAGATATAGTGAATGCGGGGTCCGGGGAGACCAGATATAGTGAATGCAGGGTCCAGGGAGACCGGATATAGTGAATGCAGGGTCCGGGGAGAGCGGATATAGTAAATGCAGGGTCTGGGGAGAGCGGATATAGTGAATGCAGGGTCCGGGGAGAGCAGATATAGTGAATGACGCGTATGGGGAGAGCGGATATAGTGAATGTGGGGTCCGGGGAGAGCGGATATAGTGAATGCAGGGTCCGGGGAGAGCGGATATAGTGAATGCAGGGTCCGGGGAGAGAGGATATAGTGAATGCAGGGTCCATGGAGAGCAGATATAGTGAATGCAGGGTCCATGGAGAGCAGATATAGTGAATGCAGGGTCCGGGGAGAGCAGATATAGTGAATGCAGAATCCAGGGAGACCGGATATAGTGAATGCAGGGTCCGGGGAGAGCAGATATATTGAATGCAGGGTCCAGAGAGAGCAGATATAGTGAATGCTGCCGGCCTTTCCACGCACATGAACTTTAATGGCCCCCCAGTCTTAGTCCATAGGGTTCAATATTGAGTTGGCCCCGCCCTTTCCCCCGCACATGACCTTTAATGCCCCCCAGTCTTAGTCCGTAGGGTTCAATATTGAGTTGGCCCCGCCCTTTGCAGCTATAACAGCTTCAACTCTTCTGGGAGGCCGTCCACAAGGTTTAGGAGGGTGTCTATGGGAAGGTTGGACCATTCTTCCAGAAGCACATTTGTCAGGTCAGGCACTGATGTCGGGGGAGGAGGCCTGGCTCGCAGTTATCGCTCTAATTCATCCCAATGGTGTTCTATGGGGTTGAGGTCAGGACTCTATGCAGACCAGTCAAGTTCCTCCACCCCAAACTAGCTCCTCCATGTCTTTATGGACCTTGCTTTGTGCACCCATCTTTAATGTGGAGCAAAATGGGCAGCTGCCCCAGGCCCAGTCACTGTTGTGGGGCCCATAGCAGCTGTCCCAGGCCCGGTCATTATTGTGGGGCCCATAGCAGCTGCCCCAGGCCAAGTCATTGTTGTGGAGCCCATTGCAGCTGCCCCAGGCCCGTTCACTGTTGTGGGGCCCATAGCAGCTGCCCCAGGCCAAGTCATTGTTGTGGAGCCCATAGCAGCTGCCCCAGGCCCAGTCATTGTTGTGGGGCCCATAGCAGCTGCCCCAGGCCCGGTCATTGTTGTGGAGCCCATAGCAGCTGCCCCAGGCCCAGTCATTGTTGTGGGGCCCATAGCAGCTGCCCCATGCCCACTCACTGTTGTGGAGCCCATAGCAGCTGCCCCAAGCCCAGTCATTGTTGTGGAGCCCATAGCAGCTGCCCCAGGCCCAGTCATTGTTGTGGAGCCCATAGCAGCTGCCCCAGGCCCAGTCATTGTTGTGGGGCTCATAGCAGCTGCCCCAGGCCCAGTCATTGTTGTGGGGCCCATAGCAGCTGCCCCAGGCCCAGTCACTGTTGTGAAGCCCATAGCAGCTGCCCCATGCCCAGTAATTGTTTTGAGGCCCATAGCAGCTGCCCCAGGCCCAGTCATTGTTGTGGAGCCCATAGCAGCTGCCCCAGGCCCAGTCATTGTTGTGGAGCCCATAGCAGCTGCACCAGGCCCAGTCATTGTTGTGGGGCCCATAGCAGCTGCCTCAGGCCCAGTCACTGTTGTGAAGCCCATAGCAGCTGCCCCATGCCCAGTAATTGTTTTTGTGAGGCCCATAGCAGCTGCCCCAGGCCCAGTCATTGTTGTGGGGCTCATAGCAGCTGCCCCAGGCCCAGTCATTGTTGTGGGGCCCATAGCAGCTGCCCAAGGCCCAGTCATTGTTGTGGGGCCCATAGCAGCTGCCCCAGGCCCAGTCATTGTTGTGGAGTCCATAGCAGCTGCCCCAGGCCCAGTCATTGTTGTGGATCCCATAGCAGCTGCCCCAGGCCCAGTCATTGTTGTGGGGCCCATAGCAGCTACCCCAGGCCCAGTCACTGTTGTGGGGCCCATAGCAGCTGCCCCTTCAGACGAGGACACAGACAGGCAGAGTGGAGAGGTTTGGTCACAGGTTTCTACTGTAGCATGGGTGAGCGGAACGGAGCAGGGCATTGTGGAAAGCAAACGCATGATCAGTGTTTCTAGTGCTCAGTACTGGTGGTAGCGGTGAGGCTCCAGATATACAGTGTAGTAGTACAAACACACAGGCGCAGGGAATTCTGGGACTTTTTCTGCCTCTGCCCAAGTGGTTGGTTCCAGCAGACAGGAGGAGTGGAGTGGGTTGTTTTTTGGCATCCCTGGTGGGTGTCTCATCCATCTGTCACCTGGGCTTTCCCTTGGTTGCAGCAGTGGGTAAGCAGATATTCCCGATGGCTCCCTCGGGGGCGTAGCTCACTACATGAGAACCTTCATCTTTCTGCCAGCCCTAGCTCCCCTCCACCTCTCCGGCCTAGAGGCAGCTGTGTGACGTTTAACCATCCAGGACATGTCAATGACATCCTGCAAGCTGGGGTAGAGCCGTTACTCATGTTATCTATCTGATGGATGGATTGGCCGCAGATCATTCCTGATAGGATTCATCTGATGGTGTGTGTGGGTCTGATGTAATTACTCACTGTGGACACTAGCATTCCTGACTTTATTATATATACAATAAGTATTCCCAGCCTTTGTTCAATACTTTGTTGAAGCCCCTTTAGCACCAATTCCAGCCTCAAGTCGTTTGGAGTATGATGCTACAAGCTTGGCACACCTATTTTTGGGCACTTTCTCCCATTCTTCTTTGCAGTACCTCTCAAGATCCATCAGGTTAGATGGGGAGCGTCCGTGCACAACCATTTTCAGATCTCTCAGATCGGGTTCAAGTCTGGGCTCTGGCTGGGCCACTCCAGGACATTCACAGAGTTGGCTCGTAGCCACTCCTTTGTTATGTGGGCTGTGTGCTTAGAGTTGTTGTCCTGTTGAAAGATGAACCGACACCCCAGTCTAAGGTCCAGAGCGCTCTGGAACAGGTTTTCATCAAGGATGTCTCTGTACATTGCTGCATTCATCTTTCCTTCCATCCTGACTAGTCTCCCAGTTCCTGCCGCTGAAAAACATCCCCACAGCATGATGCTGCCACCACCATGCTTCACTGTAGGGATGGTATTGGCCAGGTGGTGAGCGGTGCCTGGTTTCCTCCAGACATGACATCTGGCATTCAGGCCAAAGAGTTTAATCTTTGTTTCATCAGACCAGAGAGTTTTGTTTCTTATGGTCTGAGAGTCCCTCAGGTGCCTTTTGGCAAACTCCAGTTGGGCTCCCATTTGCCTTTTACTGAGGAGTGGCTTCCGACTGGCCACTCTACCATACAGACCTGATTGGTGGAGTGCTGCAGAGATGGTTATTCTTCTGGAAGGTTCTCCTCTCTCTACAGAGAAATGCTGGAGCTCTTTCAGAGTGACCATCGGGTGCTTGGTTACCTCCCTGGCTAAGGCCCTTCTCCCTTGATCGCTCATTTTGTCCCGGCGGCCCACTCTAGTAAGATTCCTGAGGTTCCAAACTTCTTTTACGGATGATGGAGGCCACTGTGCTCATTGGGACATTCGGTGCTGCAGAAATGTTTCTGTACCCTTCCCCAGATCTGTGCCTTCATACAATCCTGTCTCAGAGGTCTATGGACAATTCCTTGGACTTCATGGCTTGGTTTGTGCTCTGACATGCACTGTATCTGTGGGACCTTCTATAGACTAGACAGGTTTATGCCTTTCCTAATCATGTCCAATCAAATGAATTTCCCACAGGTGGACTCCAATCAACTGAATGTCCCACAGGTGGACTCCAATCAAATGAATTTCCCACAGGTGGACTCCAATCAACTGAATGTCCCACAGGTGGACTCCAATCAAATGAATTTCCCACAGGTGGACTCCAATCAACTGAATGTCCCACAGGTGGACTCCAATCAACTGATTGTCCCACAGGTGGACTCCAATCCACTGACTGTCCCACAGGTGGACTCCAATCAACTGAATGTCCCACAGGTGGACTCCAATCAACTGAATGTCCCACAGGTGGACTCCAATCAACTGAACGTCCCACAGGTGGACTCCAATCAACTGAACGTCCCACAGGTGGACTCCAATCAACTGAACGTCCCACAGGTGGACTCCAATCAACTGAATGTCCCACAGGTGGACTCCAATCAACTGAATGTCCCACAGGTGGACTCCAATCAACTGAATGTCCCACAGGTGACTGAATGTCCCACAGGTGGACTCCAATCAACTGAATGTCCCACAGGTGGACTCCAATCAACTGAACGTCCCACAGGTGGACTCCAATCAACTGAACGTCCCACAGGTGGACTCCAATCAACTGAATGTCCCACAGGTGGACTCCAATCAAGTTGTGGAAACATCTCAAGGATGATCAGTGGGAACAGGGTGCACCAGAGCTCAATTTTCAGTGCCATGGCAAAGGCTGGGAATACTTATGTACATGGAGTTTGTTTTTCGTTTTTTATTTTTAATAAATTGCAAAGATTTCAAAATGAACTTCTTTCACGTTGTCATTATGGGGTATTGTTTGTAGAATGTTGAGGAAAAAAATGAATTTAATCCATTTTGGGATAAGGCCGTAACATAACAAAATGTGGAAAAAGTGAAGCGCTGGGAATACTTTCTGGATGCCTTGTGTGTCGCTATCTCAACCCAGAATATAGGACCACCCAGGGGCGTCCCTAGGGTTGGTGTCACCCGGTGCTATAACACTTGGTGAAACCCCCCAGACGATCCCCGCAGAATGGATCAGAGTCCGATCCATTATGCTCCCCAATCCGTAGATCTGATCCATCCTGCGCGGATCGTCGGCATGCAACCTATATGGGTGACACCGGACCCGCTCCACAAAAAGGTAAGTTGTAAAGCAAGCAGATGATCCCCCGCAGGATGGATCGGATCTGCGGATTGGGGAGCATAATGGATCGGACTCCAATTCATTATGCTCCACAATCCGCAGATCCGATCCATCCTGCGCGGATCGTCGGCATGCAACCTATATGGGTGACACCGGACTCGCTCCACAAAAAGGTAAGTTGTAAAGCAAGCCGGTGATCCCCGCAGGATGGATCTGATCTGTGGATTGGGGAGCATAATGGATTGGACTCCGATCCATTATGCTCCTTAATCTGCAGATACGATCCATCCTGCGGGGATCACCGGCTTGCTTTACAACTTACCTTTTTGTGGAGCGGGTCCGGTGTCACCCGATGCGGTAGGTGTTACCCGCTGTGGTGCCACCCCCGGCACCTGCTTAGGGACGCCACTGGGACCACCCAATAGGAGGACAGAAGAGGACGATACCACTCATTACATGACCAGCTGCAAGGCAGATAGAAAAAAAAAAAGTATGTCTACTACAAATGTGCCGCTGAAGATGGGAAGGAGAAAATCTATAATGGAAACCATGTTCCTCGGGGGAGGTTCTCTTGTTATGCTCACAGGCCTCCCACCTCCTATTCCAGGCACTAAGAGACATGGAGGAATGGGAGCAAACACCTACTACACTCCTACCCAGCCAGGATGCACCACAAGTCCCATAATTCCTCAAAAAAAAAACAACAATGCAGAAAGAACTAACCCTAGAAGCCCACCAAAGTCCTGATATATACAGTACAGTACAGGGGCGGACTGACAACTCATGGGGCCCCCTACTGACCCCGGGCCCTCGGGCAGTACCAGAGTTTCCAAATGGTCAGTGCGCCCCTGGTACAGTAAGTACATGAGGGTTTTTTTTCGTTTTTTATTTGTAATAAATTGCAAAGATTTCAAAACAAACTTCTTTCACGTTGTCATTATGGGGTTCTGTTTGTAGAATGTTGAGGAAAAAAATGAATTGAATCCATTTTGGGATAAGACTGTAACAGAACAAAATGTGGAAGAAGGTAAGCGCTGGGAATACTTTCTGGATGCTGTGTATGAGAGCCATGTTGTGCCGTGGGGCTGCAAACTCCGGCTGGGGCAATGACACCTCACCCCCCGGGTGCCCTGACTTCACTAACCACTTGCCCTCCTGAGGATTTACCCCCCTTAATGACCACGCCTCTTTTTGCTACTCGGCGCTGCACTAATTAGACTGATAATTGCGCGGTCATGCAATGCTGCACCCAAACGAAATTTACGTCCTTTTTTTCACACAAATAGAGCTTTCTTTCGGTGGTATTTGATCACTGTGCGCTTTTTATTTTTCACGCTATCAACAAAAAAAGGCCAAAAATTTTAAAGAAAAACAATATTTTTTACTTTCAGCTATAAAAAATATATAGTAAACTCAAAGTTAGTTATAAATTTAGGCCAAAATGTATTCTGCTCCATGTTTTTGGTAAAAAAAAATCCCAATAAGTGTATATTGATTGCTTTGTGTGGAAGTTATAGCGTCTACAAAACTATGGTATAGATACTGCAATTTACGCCATTTTTCTGTTATACAGCACTGCGCTTGTTTATCGGACAATTGCGCGGTCATGCAATACGGTACATAAATGAAATTTACATCCTTTTTTTCCCCACAAATTGAGCTTTCTTTCGGTGGTTTTTGATCGCCTGTGTGGTTTTTATTTTTTGCGCTATAAAAAAAAAGCTGACAATTTTGAGGGGAAAAAAAACAATATTTTGGACTTTTTGCTATAAAACATGTCCAGTAAAAAAAATGCAAAAATCAAATTTAGTCATAAATTTCTGCCAAAATGCATTCTGCGACATGTCTTTGCTAAAAAAAATCCAGATACGTGTAAATTAATTGGTTTATGTGAAAGTTATAGCGTTTACAAATGGCGGGAAAGATACTGGGATTTTTAGTTTTTTTTTTTTATACTAATAATGGCGGCGATCAGCGAATTATGGCGGCGATCAGTGACTTATGGAGGCGATCAGTGACTTATGGAGGCGATCAGTGACTTATGGAGGCGATCAGTGACTTATGGAGGCGATCAGTGACTTATGGTGGGACTGCGGGACTGCGGCGGACATTCTGACATTGGAGGGGTACTGACTTGGGGTCACTGACATCCCCAAAAACACTAATACAGTGATCAGTGCAAAAAGAAAAACACTGACACTGTACTAATGGCACTGGGGAGGAAGGGGTTAAGTTTATTTTTCAGGGAAGGGTTATAGGAGTGAGGGGGAGTGTTTTACTAGGGGGCGGGGGGTGTACTGGGCGGGACAAGGCTGATGGAGAGAGAGAGAAACTCTTCTGTCTCGATCAGCTCATCCGCGAGCTGCCAGGGAAGTGACAGATAGCACAGCTACTGCAGCTGTGCTCTCTGTCACTGTTTGCCACCGATTGCCGGGAAACAGCCGCTAAGAACCGGCTGTGACCCGGCGACTGACATCCGCGGCGGTGATCGGCGGGGACAGATAGGGCGGCGGCGCGCCTCGCGCGCGCCCCCTATTTGTTTACAAAACACACGTTTTAAAACGTGGTTTTGCCTGCCCATGCCGCCCTGCCGCCGTATTTATACAGTGGCTGGGCGGCAAGTGGCTAAATATGGGTTGAATGATGCTGTGCGTCATTTTTTGGGTCTGCGTTAGAACACTAAAGTTGAACTCAAGCCAAAATTCTAGATACAGAGATGAAATTCAGATCTGTTAGTTGTATTACCTGCCAAAGGATTTGTCTGTCTATCCAGTTGTGGGATTTACACCGCTCTGCTACAATGCTCAGATCTTCCTTACAGGGCAGGAAGATCTAATTCCCCCTAATTCTAACCCCACCATTCAGCAGGGTCTGGCAGACGCTGCCCACCGCTTGCCACCCACACCTCTGTACAAGGACTCTGTTTGAAAGCTGTAGGAAGTGTCAGTGAACTATGAGAGAGCTCACCAGCAACGTCACAGTCCATGGAGAACTGCAAGACGTCTGCTGCAGTGAAGACAGGATTTGTAGTCCATTCACTCAAAGAGGGGTCATGTGTAATGATGGTGGTAGTATGGGGGAGGGGTCCTGTGTAATGATGGTGGTAGCATGGGGGAGGGGACCTGTGTAATGATGAGGGTAGTATGGGGAGGAGGTCCTGTGTAATGATGGAGGTAGCATGGGGGAGGGGACCTGTGTAATGATGAGGGTAGTATGGCGGAGGAGGTCCTGTGTAATGATGGTGGTAGTATGGGGGAGGGGGTCCTGTGTAGTGATGGTGGTAGTTTGGGGGAGGGGACCTGTGTAATGATGGGGTAGTATGGGGGAGGGGACCTGTGTAATGATGGGGTAGTATGGGGGGAGGGGACCTGTGTAATGATGGTGGTAGTATGGGGGAGGGGACCTGTGTAATGATGGGGGGTAGTATGGGGGAGGGGACCTGTGTAATGATGGAGGTAGTATGGGGGAGGGGACCTGTGTAATGATGGTGGTAGTATGGGGGAGGGGACTGTGTAATGATGGGGTAGTATGGGGGAGGGGTCCTGTGTAATGATGGTGGTAGTATGGGGGGAGGGGGGGTCCTGTGTAATGATGGAGGTAGTATGGGGGAGGGGACCTGTGTAATGATGGTGGTAGTATGGGGGAGGGGGTCCTGTGTAGTGATGGTGATAGTATGGGGGGGGGGTCCTGTGTAGTGATGGTGGTAGTATGGGGGAGGGGGTTATGTGTAAGTGATAGGTGGTAGTATGGGGGGAGGGGACCTGTGTAATGATGGAGGTAGTATGGGGGAGGGGGTTCTGTGTAATGATGGGGTAGTATGGGGGAGGGGGTCCTGTGTAATGATGTAGGGTAGTATGGGGGGGAGGGGTCCTGTGTAATGATGGTGGTAGAATGGCGGAGGAGGTCCTGTGTGTAATGATGGTGGTAGTATGGGGGAGGGGGTAGTAGTGTAGTGATGGTGGTAGTATGGGGGAGGGGGTCCTGTGTAATGATGGAGGTAGTATGGGGGAGGGGACCTGTGTAATGATGGTGGTAGTATGGGGGAGGGTAGGTTCTGTGTAATGATGATGGTAGTATGGGGGAGGGGTCCTGTGTAATGTGGTATGGTGGTAGTAGTATGGGGGGGGGACCTGTGTAATGATGGAGGTAGTATGGGGGGGGGACCTGTGTAATGATGGTGGTAGTATGGGGGAGGGGTCCTGTGTAATGTGATGGTGGTAGTATGGGGGAGGGGACCTGTGTAATGATGAGGGAAGTATGGGGGTGGGGGTAGTAGTGTGTAATATGGTGGTAGTAGTAGTAGGGGGTT